CATTCCCCTCCCTAAAGATGCAGGGAAGCAATCCACTTGTCCACTGGGAAAAACACTAACACATCTGCAGCAAGTCAGTAGGATACTTTTTTTTCATTTTTTTTCATTTTTTTTTTCATAGAGATCATTGCTCTTCATCTGGTGCCTCATTCAGAAACAATGAACCCTGCGGTACCCTACTAGGGACAAAAGCCCGTGACAACAATGGGATACACAAACTCCTTCACCATGATAAAGTGATGATTCACAGAGGGGTCAAAGGTTACCTGAACCCCTCAAATAAAAGTATTTCAAGAATGGCACAGTAACACTTTATAAAAAAAGACTCCTTACATAATTATGAAATACATCATTTCATTGCTTTAAAAGTCCTCTGGGGAAAACAAAACCACTATCATCTCCTTTTTTGTCTCACAATCAAGGAAAAGAATTTCCATCGTGTCACACAGAAGCACATAGTCAAGGTGAGCGTTGTTGTGAACCAATCTAAATGACAATTTAGGGAAAAAATTCATAGAATCTAAAGAAGAAGATAAAATGCTAAACTGAGATTTGTGTAGTTCACCTTGACATAAATAGCATCATGTGGGTCTTTGAACAGCATCAATGCAGCAATAATTACAACAGACTATGTGTGTTGTCAGCACCCACCTGCCTGGATGATGAGTTTGGTGCACTCATTGCAGGGGAACAACGTCACATACATGGTGCAGCCTTTCACATCAACATTGCTCGCGTTCATTAAGGCATTCAGCTCTGCATGGCACACTGTGGGACATGACATGAAATTCATATTTTAAGTATAATGAGCTTGAAGGCAGGTATCAAAAACAATGAAAAGTCTCTACTTCAGCCACTGTTTGTGCTTTAGTGCTAAAAAAAAAAAAAAAGCACTTTTCACTCTTTGATCTCCTCTTCATCATGAACTCTTTTCTGTTTCACTTTTAATCAATCAGCATTTGGCCTAAAGATATATCTTCATCTTTGGAGCACACACATGTGCCACATGAACCCTTTTAATTATCCCAAACTCAAAAAAAACTTTGTGGACAGCAAAACACATCAGCTCTTATTTATATGCATATGTAAGATTTGAAAAGAGACTGGACAAAAATGAGTGGAATTCAGCTTTTTAATTCATTGTTCTTATCAATGACTGTGGTTCTTATCCAAGGAAAACAAAATCATCAGATCATCGCTGTTTAGTTCACTGTAAACATTGTAGTACAGAGGGTTTACTGGATGAATATACACAGTATCATCAAAAAAGTCTGGGAAATGACACTCTTTACACTTCACAATCTGTGATTGGCCATCAGCATTTTGCTTAAAATGTATTTCACCGATTAAATGGTCTTCCTTAGAATTCAGCCTCTTAATAATAATAATAATTAATATGTAAAGTGATAATTAACTTAACACCCAATTCAGAGTGTATACTGATAGGAGTTGGCCATGTTTTACAAATTAGTCTTATAAAACATGTCATTTCTAACAAAACAGGACAGTGACTATTAAGAGAATCTATAAAACTATTCTTAAATATGTTTGAGAACCAAACAAAAATTGAATCCGATTTTTACACTCTGATTACTGAATAATGTTTTAGCCCCACCTGTTTTCTTTTTTTGCACCCACTTTAGATGCAAATTGAAGTGTCTTTGATCTTTTTGCCCCCACATGCTCCTTAATCTTTCTGGTTTAAGTAAAAGTGATGAACTCTGCAGCCCCATCTATATATAACGCCATTAACTCATTGTGGATCGAGTTGAAGCTGATAGAGGTTGCTGTATGGGACATTTGAGACTCCAGTTGTGCACCTTTCCTTCTCCATAACATTTCTGAGAACACAATCCTTTTGCTCCCGTTGGTTGTTGCATCAAACAACCAACAGACCCACCGACTTTGCTTTAGTGCAATTATTTTTATTTATTTATTTGTTTATTTTAGTTATTTTACGTGATGTTGCTACAGATTACTGAATTTCATTTTTCACACATGTAGAGAGCACAGCATAAAATGACAACTACAGATGAATGCCTCTTAAAGAGGAATATCCAGACATCCTGTAACACATTAATACTGTGGTTAGATGAATAAAAGCAGGAGTGCTTTGCTTAAACCAAATTATTTAAATCCTGAAATAATTCAGTCAAACTAAATAAGACAGGAGAAAAAAAAACAAGTGTGTGGAAGTGCATACTCACCATACATGTATTTTGTGTCAAGTTCATCACCTTCGCGATTCCATGGCAGTTTGTCTTTACAGCCATTGGGCATACAATTGTGACCAGTGCCAACTATCTTTTTGTCCTGGTTCACTAAACATGCTCCCACCTGCAGACAGAGAGAGACGTGGGAGAGAAATTGACCTCAAAAGGTTACAAATGTGTTTAAAATAATCCCCAAGGATCATGTTAAACACAGGAAAACAGAGGAGGCCCAGATGTCACAGGCTCCACTGCAACATTAACATGCGACAGTTTAAATTTGTGAATCTGTGTGACGCTGACATAGTAAAATTTGAAACTGTGTGTATCAGGTGATTTGTGCACATGCATTTAGATTTGTTAAGCTGAACTTAAAATATTGTGTGTAAATGTTTTTTTTTTTAAATTGAATTTATTTATTTCATTTTTCATTATGTAAAATTTTGTTTTAATACTCTCAGTTTTTATATATTATTAAACCAGCTCACAAGTACTACCACTTTTTTCACAATCAAGAAGGTAGGGCATGTTGCTGAATGGTGGACAGACAAGTGATCTGAGGTTGTCATGTGGTAGCCGGGTGTGGTTTCTGAGTCAGCTGAGAGGAGAGGTGTGGTTTTGTTTGATGAGGTGATTTTTGTGCTGGTGTAAATACCAAGCTGAAAGATTTTCTGCAGCGCCATCTCTTTTCTCTTTTTTTAACAGTGTAACATTTTTACATTTTTTAACTTATTTTATAGATTTTTATCACCACTTTATCATCATCTAACAACGCCTCTGACTGCAGTAGGTGGCACTCACTGGAATCATTTTGGGCAGAAGCAGAGAAATGATGTGTGAATGCCTCCTAATTTGTGAGCAGACACAGCCTGGAGCAGAAAGACCGGCTTAACAAAGAAAGTTGACAACAACCATTGTGATATCCACCATCTCTAACTGGGGTTTTAGGTTTTGCTGAGCCAGCTCATACTGGCTATGTTGAACTTTCTTCATAGTACACACCTCTGAGAACTGATGTTGGATACAAGCTTATTGTGAAGTGTCTATCATTCTCAATCCATATGCAAAGAGACACATACCTGAGTGTTTGGGTCAGCGCTTCTTTTTGCTGACAGAACAGCTACAGCCATGAAGTAGTCTGCATCGATCAGGAAGTCTTTCCTGTTACAAAGAAGTACAAAACCACAGACACAGTAGATCCTATGAGCAGAAATAGAAATACAGCCTTTAAACCAATTTTGGTTTAAGACACCTTGTGAGATCACTGCTTTGCAAGCAGTCACTCCCTCTATTAATACAGTTCAGTTTGTATAACTTGATCTACTTCTGCAGTAAATTAATGGTTTGACATAAACACAACACAGCTGGTTTTACAGGTTTCAGGTGTCAACATGAATACAACAAAGGCTCATTACAGAAATAAAATAATGCATTTCTACTCAGGCTGATGCTTTAAATATTTAATTGTTATGATTTTGCAGCAACAGATAACAAAGGCTATGTTAAAAAGTAAAATAATACATTTCCACTACAGCTCAGTGACACAAAGTTTTTTTAAAAAAGTCCATAATGTGTCTGAGAGAAAGATAAAAGATAAATTAAACAAATAGGTAAAAGATAATTACCGCCCATCATAATCAAGCTGCGGATTTTCGTCCATTCTCTTAAAAAAAAATCTTAGCAAGTACAAGATGTTTGTAACTATGGACTCCTGAAGTCTTTCCTAAATGTTAACGATAGAGGATATATATGAGATTATGAGCACTGTAGACCAAAGCAACGCCTCCAATGATCTAGGAGGTGTGTCAGTTTTGTGGCTGTGCTTGTTGCATGTGAGTGAGGGCTATGTGTAGGATTTGCCTTTAAGAGGTAAAGTAAAATAAAGTTGACTAGACTTATGCAAAACCAACTTATGCAAAACTTATGTGATGACTCACTCTTCCTAGCACAGCCACCTCCAGCAGAAAGCAGCAGGTCATTTAAACCACATATTAACCTCCACAGGCTACTGTGTAGTGCCTGCAATTTGTAAAACTATATTTATGAGTAGAGGGGCGGAGCTATTCTGTTTATTTAGAAGTAGAAATGCACGTTTTATTTAAAACAATGCAGGAATTCAGAGGAAGCCCAGATGTCCCAATTTTCCACTGGGGCAGGAGCTCAGTTTAAATTTGGAGATCTTAAAATATTGTGTGTAAATGATTACTATTTTTCTTTCTTCCTTAATTTGACAGTAATTGGTTTCACTATCTATGACTGTCAGGCTTGGCTGTCAGTCAAACACTGGTCCCATTCTGTGGAAGTAGGGCAGTTCTGCAGAATGATGGACAGACATGTCCGCTTTTCACGTTCTGTCCGGGGGGATTTTTGAGACTGATGAAAATGCTCGGGTTTTTCTATAGGCCTACAGAGGACCCATATGTGTGACGTCATCCCTAAGCTGCTGCTTTGTGAGTGGTTGTTCCACCTCACAGAGGGGACAGAGCACGCCTGATGATGTTTGATAGATGCCAAAGCGCAAGTGCAGATTTTCAGACAAACTGCAAAAGAAATTTCCCTCGTACCATCGCGGTACTGGTAATTTTTCTTATACAGATAAGGCCTTAATTCTGTATCATTTTTTAATTCCAGAGGTTTTTAAGTTATTTTTTTATACTTCTTGACTTGTAAAAGCCTATATGACATTTTTTTTATTTCGCCATTCATTAACCCCACAGGGAAGGCATCGTTTAAATATGTTAGAATTTTCGTTAAACCAACAGTATTAATAAAGTTCTTCATGACTGGGAAAAAAAGAAAAAAAAGAATGATGGACAGACAAGTAATGTGAGGTTGTCGTGTGGTTTCTGGATCAACTGAGAGGAGAGCTAGAGTATTATGATGTGAGGTGAGTTATAAACCTGGTATGCATTTGCCTATTGCCCTCTTCCTTGTATGCAGGAGATGTTGAGCTGGTTTGGCACGCTCACACACCCTGACATGGGAAGAAAGACAATGGACAACTGAAAATAAGAGTTATTGAGTAGATTTGTATGTCCTTCACCTGTTGAGCAAATGTCTCTTATCTCTGCTTCAAGCTCTTTACAGAAAGAAAGTTATTCTGTGTGTCAACCACTGTGAAAAGATGTTCATCTTGAATCTAGTTGTCAGTGTCGTCTTACTGATAATTCTCATCTTAATCCAAATACAACAAAGACAGTCATATTCTGAAACCAAAAAAATAATGATAATCTGAGCTATAGTAACTTTGTGTTATTTAAATGAAAGAGGTTTGATAGATTTAAGCACTGTGTTGGACTGGTGCACAGTAGCTACGGTGTTCATGGTCAGATTTAGGTTATGTTAAAACAGCAGATATTAATATGAATTTTAGCTGATGATGCTTAGATGCATTTACTGAATTCCACCTTTATACAAACTTGATAGCATTTAGTGTAAAGACAGTATAAACAGTATACTGTAAAATTTTTTTAAGAAAGTAACAGTACAGCGACTGTTAAGAGAATCTATAAGTAGAAAACTATTCTTAAATGTGTTTGAGAAGCAAACAAAAATTGAATCAGATTTTTGCACTCTGATCACTGAGTACTAATGTATTAGCCCAACCTGTTTTCTTTTTTGCACCTGTTTTAGATTCAAACTGAAGTGTCTTTGATCTTTTTGCCCCCACATGCTCCTAAAGTTTGCACTTTTGGTCTGGTTTAAAACCAAAATGACAACAAATGTTTTATTGCTGGGCTGACAGTAGAGTTGTCCAATTTTTCTTGTTATTTTTCTCAAGTCAAAAAGTAAATGTGATGAATTCTGCAGCCTCCTGTATATATAAAGTCATTAGTTCATTGAGGATCGTCGTGCACCATTTCTGCTCCATAATATTTCTGAGAACACAATCCTTTTGCTCCTGTTGGCTGTTGCATCAAAGTTTTTCCTCAAAGTTGACACCAGCTGAATTCTGGGCCCACCTACTTTGCTTTAGTGCAATTATTTTTATTTATTTATTTTAGTTATTTTACATGATTTTGCCACAAATCACTGAATTTGATTCTTCACACATAAAGAGAGCACAGCATAAAATGACAAAAACCTCTTCAAGAGGAATATCCAGACATCCTGTAACACATTAATACTGTGGTTAGATGAATAAAAGCAGGAGTGCTTTGCTTAAACAAAATTATTTAAATCCTGAAATAATTCAGTCAAACTGAATGTGATGGCATGCCACACATGGTAAGCTCCACACCTCACCACCCGTTGATTCACTTTAGTTTAATTTACAGTCACTACTTTAAAATAGTCTAGTCTATTGTTCAATATTGTTTCTT